TCTTCCTCTTCCTCATCGTTGGTTGGCCTGAGGACGCAGTCTTCAACCATGGCAGTGTCGCTTGGCCGACCGAATCCTAGAGACATTTCGAGAAAACTAGGAGAAGGAGGGCGATGTCCGAATGCTGCTTCGTCGCGGTCTCGAGGCTCAAGGATAGGCCAAGAGAAAGGCGACCGACGCGCTGTCCTTCCCAGCTCCCCGATGGCTTCGTGTGGAACTTCTGAACCAACGGGTGTGGTGAGAGGCAGATCGGTTCATACGAGATTGCCTCTGAAAGCAGTCCAGGCGGGCTCGCCTCTGAATGCAATCCAGGCGGACCCGCCCAGGAGCTTCTGAGCGCAAGGAGCGGTGAACCAAACCCAGACAAACGGCGATAATTACCGAGACAGGTGCGGCGATCCATACGGCGAGATCGACGACGTAGGCACGAACGAGAACTGGGAGATCTACTGCTCAAGGGTTCTGGGTTGGGGGCGCTACGAAAACTTGAACAGAGACACGAAGGTGCCGAGAGAACGTTGAGGATCCAGGATAGCAGTGGACTAATGCGTACGGATGACATGTCGATTTGCGAGCTGTTCGCGGCTTTCTACGAGGACCCCTACCGCGAAACAAAAGGGCACCCGGCAGATCCATAAGCATATTCGCACGAAGCTCAAGTCACAGAAGAACAGTTGAACAGGGCACTGCGGAAATTAAAGGAGGGCAGAACAGGGGCGGATGACGGATTGGTTGCAGAAATGCTCAAGACTGGACGTGGTGGTCTTATTACAACCATTGCTGACTTCTTCACCGAGATCTTACGGGGTGCTTTGCCGCCACTAGAAAAATGGAAGACTACAACATTACGTGTGTTGTTCAAACTGGGAGACCCGATAATGCCAAATAATTATCGGCCAATCGCTGTAATCTTTGCGATGGCGAAGTTATTCAGCACCGTGTTGTGCAACAGGGTCGCCGGCAAATTCTCCCGGGAACAATTTGGCTTCCGACCCGCCCGTGGGTGCGCAGATGCAGTGCACATCGCGCGAACGGTTGTCGAAAAGTTTCTAGAGTGGGGTGAAGAGCTCTGGGTTGCAACTTTGGATGCGGAGAAGGCTTTCGATCGCGTCCATCATTCTGCGCTCTTCGGTGCTCTCTGGCGGAACCGCATTGACATGTCCATCGTTTCTGTGCTGAGGCGCTTGTATTTGGGAGTTAGGGGATTCGTGTCTATGTGGCCACGAGCGGACAGCCGGCACTTCGACGTGGACAGGGGCGTGAAGCAGGGCGGCCCACTCTCTCCAATTCTTGCCAATTTGGTGTTGGATGGAGTATTGGCGGAAGTGAATGAGGTATGGGAGAAGAGGGGTACGGCGCCAACGTCGGGTACGAGCTCCGGGGGCATCACCTCACGAATATTGCATTCGCGGACAACCAGACGCTGATCGTAAAAAGTTGGGTCTCAATGGGGATAATCGTTTTGATGCTGTTGTCTGCGTTATCCGACAGGGGCTTATCTTTGCGCTCCACGAAGTGCAAGGGCCAAACGACCAACGACACTTTCATTCGACGAGGGCAACTCAGCCTTGCTGATGGATTCTCAATAAAAGTTCGGCCACCGGGAGAAAGTTTGGACATGTTGGGAACAGCGTTCTCGCTGGAAGACCCCACCGGGACCGAATTTGCTAATCGCATTGTGCTGGTTGGCGAAAGTTTGGTCCATGAAGAAGCTGATTCTCAATAGTTCGTTTTCGGTCAAGAAGAGGCTGCGCCTTTTTGATAGCGCAGTCGCCGAGTGCATTTGGTGGTGCTCGGAATCTTGGACGCCAAGAGCTGCAGAATTGAGAACGCTGCGAGTCACACAACCACAATGCTGAGGCGCATCGTCGGGGTTGCGCGGCATGGCGACGAGCCGTGGGTCGAGTGGGTGCAGAGAGCAACTTGCAGAGCTCGGCGTCTTGCTCGCGAGCGCGCAGTAAAAGAATGGGCCCCAGAGTACTTCAAAAGGAACTGGCGCTGGGCAGGCGAAGCGGTAACGCAGGACACGAGAATGGGTTTGGAACGCTGCGGAATGGCGCGGCGCTCAGTGGCAGGCCGCTGCCAACGAGCTCGGAGCACTGCGGTTCCGGAGGCCGTCTTTGCGAAGGTGGATGCGGTTCGAAGATTGTACCAATAAATTTTGCAACGATTATGGCTTGGGCGAATGGCGTGCGTTGACAGCCGGTAAGCATTGGCGCCAACACCAAAAGGATTTTGTCGCTTGGGCTGCGGAGGCCAAGTTCGACGACTGACTTCACACCCTGGGTCCTGCCCCTAGCGGGCCAGCTTTGCTGCTAGAGTTTGCTCCTTGCTCCCCTCCTCAGCGTCCTATCGCCTTCTCTTCCTTCCTCGTCCTTTCCTTCCCCCCCGCTCCCGTGCCTCCTGTGCGAGTTCCCTGTCGCGCGGGGGCGCGCGCGCGGCGGGGGGTCGGAGAGCGGAGGGAAAAACATAAACAGTGGGAGGGGACAATTATGGGGGAGATGGGAGGGGAAAACGATGAGGGGGGAGGGAGAAGGGGAAAAGGCTACTTAATGAACAGCGGAAATGAAGAAGGGGGAGAATCCATTACCACATCAGGATATCAAGGAAGGGCGGAGGAAAGAAGGAATGACGGATGATGAGGAGGGGGAGGAAGAGTAGGAGGAGGAGGAGGAGGAAGGGAAGGAGGAGGAGGAAAAGGAGGAAAAGGAGGACGATGATGAGGATCAGGAGGACGAGGACCAGTGTACATTACATACGCATCACGTGTGTCACAATACACCCTCCTTCCGAGTTCCGTCTTCGTAGGTCTCTGCCATGCGTTGTTAACTGCGGGAATGGTTTTGTGCAAAACAAATAAGTGATAATTATCAGTCATGCCAAACGCCACTCCTGTGACTTAGCGCCGCCTTAGCGCCGCGAATCAGCATGATTGTTGCGTCCTCACAATCCCAAGCCGAGCGATAATTTTCTCGGGGACTGCAACGCATCGAATCAACGTGACTGATGCGTCCAGGCAATATTGGATCGAAGCGAAACGCCATACGTGGGACCTTGACCTTGGTAATCGTTGAAACTTCTGCGCCATTTGTAGACGAATGATCGCTGCACTGAAGCGACACCCACATTTGAAAACGAGTTGCCTCCACCATTGGAGCTGTTACGAAGGTGGGCGGCAGTGAGGCGATGACCACATTTTCTGAACACGAGCCGCCTTTCATCCTTTAAGCTGTTGCAAACTTGCGGGGCGAATGTGCGCAGCGCTACGGCGAACGGTACATTTGAATACGAGCCGTTTTCCATCTTCGATTGTGTTGCAAAGTTTCTAGACGAATGCGCGCGGTGCTGCTGCGAAGACCACATTTTGAAAACGACCTTCCCTCCATCCTTGACGCTGTTGTACACTCCAAGGCTTCGGGACCATAAGTGGTGAGGGGGTCTCAAGAGAAACGCCCGGCCCGGCCGACCGATTGGTCAGGGGGGGCGACGCGGAATGGTTATCCATAAGGAAGAAAGATGGAGGGAGGAGGAGGAGGAGGAACAAAAAGGAGGAGGACCAGGGTAAACCCAAGTTGCGTCACGGTGTTGCGACGACGTTTCCCTTCGAATTTCCTCTTCAAGGTTCTTACCAGACGTGCCCGAAGACAACTGTCAGGGAATCCCCAATCGTACTGAGACGCCGTTCCTGGGACTTCAGAGCCGCGAGTCAACGTGACTCTTGCGTCCTGGTGATCTTAAACCAAGCACGAGCACCGTTCCAGGGACTACAACGCCGCGAATCAACGTGCTTGTTGCGTCCTGACAATGATTACTCGAACCGTGGCACCATTCCTGGGACTTCAGTTATACGAATCTGTAAAAGCTGAGAGCTTTTACATCGAATGTGCGCTGCGCTGATGCGAAAACTACATGTTGAACATGAACCGCCCTCCATCCTTGAACCGGTTACAATTTTTAAAGACGAATGTGCGCGGCGGTCAGGCGATAGCTACATGTGGAAAACGAGCCACCGTCCATCTTTGAAGTTGTTGCGACCTATGTCGACGAATGATCGCGGCGTTACTGCGAGAACCACATTTTTGAAAACCAGCCGCCCTCCATCAGCGAATTTGTTGCAAGCTTCCAAACGATGAGGCAGTCGGAGGTATAACGCATGGCCCGCCCTACCGTCGCGTCTGCGGGTGCCCCAGGGAGGAGTTATTCATTCGTTTCGTCCATTCTGCCAGCCCATAGTGTATGTAGTGGTTAGTGGCCTTCTGCTAGAGTGGGTCGTGGACAAGAGGCTTTGCGGGGAGGCTTGTGGGGTCTCTCTTGGGAGGTCTCTCGGGGGCCTCTTCGCTGCATTTTTGCACCTCTCGGGGGCCTCTCGGGGGTGTCTTTGTTGGGGGCCTCTGGGGGTCTTTCGGGGCTTGCTAGCGGTCTCGGCGGCCATCTTCGGGAGAAAATGGCGGTTCGGATTCTCCTCTTGGGGCCCGCTCGGGGGTTTCTGGGGCCCCGTTGGGGAGCCTCTTGGGCCGTACTGGGGTCTTCTTGGGCCCTTTTTGGACGCCTGCCAAGGCTGGCGTGGCGTGGCGACGCGCAGGCTTGTACAGCATGCGAGTGCGGGCGGCAGGCAAGTTCGGGCGGCAAGCTGTGAAGATTGCAGAGACCAGCGTGGGCGCAAGCCTCGGACCTCCTCGCGGATTTCTTGAAGGATCAGTTAACCAAACAGATGGGAATCAGGAGGGGGGGTGTTCTCCATCTCCCCTTTTGCCGGGCCTCCCCCGGCCTTCCTTTCGTCCCTCCCCCTCCCTCGTCCCTACCCCTCGTCCCGCCCCTCCCCTCCCCTCCCCTCCGCCCTTCCTCGTCCCCCCCCCTCGTCCCCTCCCGCATCCCTCCCCCTCCCTCGTTCCTCCCGCATCCCTCCCCCTCCCGCATCCCTCCCCCTCCTCACTTGCCCCTTCTCCCCTCCCTCCGCCGCTCCTCTGGGCCTCCCGCGGCCCTGCCCGGCCCTACCCCAGGCCGCGACGTGCTCGGCCTGCGGAGGCCCCGGTCGCAGACGATCGGCTTCCACTGAGGGGCGCGTCGGTCCCCCGCGGGCGCCGTGGGCGCGCGCGGCGCGCGCCGCGCTCGGGCGCGGCCTCCGCCTCCTGGGGCCGAGGATCGAGGAGGAGGATCGAGGAGGAGGAGGAGGAGGAGGAGGAGGAGGAGGAGGAGGAGGAGGAGGCGGGTCGGGTATCGAGGGGGATCGAGTAGGACCGACGAGGGCCGAGGAAGAGGATGATGACGATGATAATGATGATGATGATGATGATGATGATGATGATGATGATGATGATGATGATGATGATGATGATGATGATGATGATGATGATGATGATGATGATGATGATGATGATGATGATGATGATGATGATGATGATGATGATGATGATGATGATGATGATGATGATGATGATGATGATGATGATGATGATGATGATGATGATGATGATGATGATGATGATGATGATGATGATGATGATGATGATGATGATGATGATGATGATGATGATGATGATGATGATGATGATGATGATGATGATGATGATGATGATGATGATGCTGATGCTGCTGCTGCTGATGATGATGATGATGATGATGATGATGATGAAGATGCTGATGATGATGATGCTGCAGCTGATGATGATATATTGTTGATGATGATGCTGCTTGTGATGCTGCTGATGACGATGGCATATTGTTGATGATGATGATGCTGATGCTGCTGCTGATGATGATGATGCTGATGCTGATGCTGATGCTGCTGATGATGATGCTGATGATCATGATTCTGCTGATGCTGATGATGATGATGCTGATGCTGCTGCTGCTGCTGCTGATGATGATGATGATGATGATGATGATGATGATGATGATGATGGGGATGATGATGGTGATGGTGGTGGTGGTGATGATTATTATGATGATGATGATGCTGATGATGATGATGCTGATGCTGATGCTGCTGCTGTTGCTGCTGCTGATGATGATGATGATGATGATGATGATGATGATGATGACTCTGATGCTGCTGCTGATGATGATGATGGTGGTGGTGGTGATGATGATGATGCTGCTGCTGGTGATGATGATGCTGAGGAGGAGGAGGAGGAGGAGGAGGAGGATGCTGCTGCTGCTGCTGCTGCTGCTGATGATGATGATGATGATGATGAGGAGGAGGAGGAGGAGAGGAGGAGATGATGATGGTGGTGGTGGTTGCGGTGGTGGTGGTGTGAGGAGGAGGAGGAGGAGGAGGAGGCAGGAGGAGGAGGAGGAGATGATAATGATGATGATGGTGGGGGTGGGGTGGTGGTGTGAGTGGTGTGGTGGTGTGAGGAGGAGGAGGAGGAGGAGGAGAGGAGAGGAGGAAGGAGGAGGAAGTAGGAGGAGGAGGAGAGGAGGAGGAGGAGGGGAGGAGAGGGGGAATGGGGATGGGGATGGGAGATGGGGATGGGGAGGGTGAGGGGAATGGGGATGGGGATGGGGATGGGGATGGGGAGGGGAAGGGGGAGGGGGATGGGGAGGGGGAGGGGGAAGGGGATGGGGATTGGGATGGGGATGGGGAGGGGGAGGGGGATGGGGATGGGGAGGGGGATGGGGATGGGAGGGAGCAGGAGGATCGAGGGTCCGCGCTCCTGCCGATGCGCGCGTGGGGTCGGGCGCGCGGCGCGTCGCGCTCGCGCGAGGCCTGCTTCCCGAGGGGCAGGCTCTCGGTGACGTGGAAGCCATGCTGGCGCCGACGCTTCCGGGACGGGGGTCAAGGGAAACGGGGTTCAGTCAGCGCCAGGCCCAGGGCCAGGGCCTAGCTTTGCGGAAATACGGGGTCCCTCCAGAAGTGAGGCTCGCGCGCGCGAAAGGCACGCCTGATGGTATCCTACGCGGAGGCAGTGCAGGAAACCGCCCAGCGACCCAGAGCAGGGGGACGGTCCCCCCCCCCAACGGCCCACGGGAGTGCGATTCACCACCAACCCTGGGGCTCAAGAGACGGGAGTCCAAGGCAAACGGGGGTCAGTCAGAGCGCTGGATCTTGCAGGATCCTGCAGATCCAGGGGGGCACTGACCCGTGGTTACGTGCGGGATCCTGCAGGACCCTGCAGGATTTTGCAAAGCCCGACCGGCTCGAAGCCCGACTTGACCCGGGTCAGTGCGTCCCCGATGACGCCGATGCTCGGGGCCCCCAAACGGTGTCGCGACCACACCGCGTGGTGAGTCAGTGGGGGCGCGGGGCCACCGCAGGGTCTTGGGAGTCGGGGCGCGCTCCGAGGCCCAATGACCGTGCGATGACGCACCGCGAGGTGAGGTCGGCGGTGACTCCGAGGTCACCACGCGGCCCGTCGTCAAACGGTTTTGGGGCCCCGCAGACGCTGTCCCCATCTTCGTTGGCTTCCTGGACGAACTGCTTATTGGTTCTTGGATGTTTTCTTGCCTCGGGCTGCTTCTCAGCATCTGCGCCTCGCCCAGAGCTTTCTGGGGAGTGCCCAGATCCCAACGGCTGCGGCAGCCACGGCCAAGGCACCCGCGCCTGCGGCTACAGCGCCAACGGCGCCCACGGCTACGGCACCTGCGCGTATGGCACCTGCTCGGCGCCCACGTCCATACGGCCTTGGCGGCCATGGCACCTCCGCACAATGCTATCGCGCTTGCGGATGCAGCGCTTACGGCGAGGGCTCCATTGCCGACGGCCCGCTGCGGCGACGGCACCAACGGCGGCAGCCTCGACGGTCACGGCACCTGCGTTGGCGGCTGGGGCGCCCAGGCCGGCGGCGCCCTCGGCTCCGAAACTTGCGCCTGCGGCTGCGTCACCTGCGTCTACGGCACCCGCGGTTGCGATTAAGGCGGTAATGGCAACCACGGCGCCCACGGCCGCGATAGTTGTGGCTACTTACGGCTCAGTCAGCGGATCTGTGGCGGCGACAGCCGAGGTTGTTTGCGCAGAAGCTCGGCGCGGACAGTCCTGGCCGCGACGGCAGCGGCCAGGCGAATCACCTCCCAAACAAGGCGCATATCGAGGAGAGCATTTCCCTGGACGATCAAGAGACTGGCGCCACGGGCTAGTCTGTCCATGGCTACTCCACGCCATCGAGGCCGATTTCGAAGGATAGGTCGACAGCTGGCTCCTGGACCCAGACCCCGTCAACGAGGTATACCGCACTCTGGACAGATGATGCAAGACGCTTCGCGGCCAGGCAGGGGCGCAGGGCGGTCGCGCGGCTCCTCGTCCGTGCCTGGCGACGCGCTGCCGTGTGACACCTGCAGTTGCGGCATCTACGCCCCAGGCTGCGATGTCCACGGCTACGGCAATGGCGTTTGCGGCTGCGGCGCCTGCGGCTGCGGCACTTGCGGCTGTGGTGTCCGCGGCTGCGGCACCCGCGGCTGCGGCACCCGTGCTCCCCCCCTCCCCCCTCCGCGCAAGGCCCAGGGCCAGGGCCTGGCTTTGCGGAAGCACGTGGTCCCTCCAGAAGTGAGGCTCGCGCGCGCGCGCGAAAGGCACGCCTGATGGTATCCTGCGCTGACGCAGTGCAGGAAACCGCCCAGCGACCTAGAACAGGGGGACGGTCCCCCCCCCACGGGCCCACGGGAGTCCGATTGTGAAGGCTTTGCGGCCAGTGATGCCGACCCTGAAGACGACGACGAGGACGAGGAGGAGGAGGCGGAGGAGGAGCAATGAAGTGGACGCGGAGGACGCGGTGGATCAGCAGGAGGGGGCGGAGGAGGATGCGGAGGAGGATGAGGAGGGGGAGCAGGGGCAGGGGGAGGACGGGGGGGGGGGACAGCTTCCCCCCGCGGGCCCGCGGGAGCCCGGTTCCCCACCCTCCTCGCCCGTCGGCATGCCCGTGGCTCGGCGGGTGCACGGGCGCACGGGCGCACGGGCGGCCAAGCTCGGCGGCGCGCCGTCACCTCTTCGCCGCTGCGCCCAGCCCCCCTGCCCCCCTGCCCCCTCCCAGGCCCCCTCCGCCCTGCCCCCCGCCCTCTCTCCCGTCCCTCTCCCGCCCCTCTCCCGTCCCTCTCCACCCGCAGAAAGTTCTCGTCGGACGGGCGTCCCCCAAAAGGTTTTCCTTTCTCTCCTCTTCGGATCGCCCCTCGGTGGTGTATATTTGTGTATATATGTATACAAATGCATATGCAAGACTGCATTGGCGCTTCGCGCCATGTACCTTGGTCCTTGATACTTGGCATGCAGGTGGAAGGGCAGGACGGTAAAACGGAACATTTAGCGATATTTCCTTGTTGCATTCCCCGACGTCGTCGTAACAGCCCCATGATGGCCCAACAGGGCCCCAAGATGGCCCGAAGAGGGCCCCACGACGGCCCAATGTGGCCCCAAGACGCCTCCCAAGACGCTTCGTGACCCGGTCGCTCAGGAAGACCGCTGTTGGACGCAGATTGGCTAGACGAAGGCCCCTGAGGCCCCCAGAAGACACCCATGTTGCCTCCAAAAGGCCCCAAGAAGCTGTTGATCACTTTCGTAAGGCCCCCAAGAGGGTTTCCAAGGACGGGCCTCCGCAAAAAGAGTATAGGAGGATGGGAAACAATTCGCAGAGTAGGGTGAGAATGAAGAAGAGGAAGAGGGCACATGAGGGAAGGATGAGGAAACACATTTTGACAATAGCGATGTCGGAAACGGCAACCAGGAATTGCGCTAAATGTACCGTTTTACCTTCCTGCCCTTCGCCTGCATGCCCCTGCAGAAAACCCCTCGGGTTTTCGCTCCTGCAATCCCCTGCTTGGCCTTGGCAACGGGCCCAAGCCGGTCAAGCGGCCGAACGGCCCCGCGAGGGTCCCAACAGGCCCCAGACACCCAACAGACGCCCGAAGACGACCCACAGAAGACCACGCAGAGGTTTTCGAGACGCGTAAAACATTGATTTTTCATCGGTATTTCTGTGACTCTGGCAATGGTCTGTTCTTGGGCCTTCGGGGCGTCCGAGACAGCCCAGGAGGCCCCAAAATCGCCCCGACGACCCAACAAGGCCAGATGGCCCGAAGAGAGCCCCACGACGGCCCAAGATGACCCCAAGACGCCCCTCGAAGCGT